ATACTCGGGAGGCTGGGGCTGGGTAGGGTTAGGGCAGCAGGGCCAGCACAAGCTCTCCAGGAAGAGCCTCCAGCCCCTCCGAGACTTTCTCTCCTCTCTCTCTCTCTCTTTTTTTTTTTCCTGACAAGGGGAAGGGAAGGCAGGCAACGCCGCGGAAAGCAAAAATAGCCTTGCCCTGGCTGACTCCACTACCGGTCTTCTAAACTGGCGTCTCTGACCCCCTCTCCGGTGGGTAACAGTGAGCCTCCAGCCGCTCCCCTTTAAAAGGGAAGCGAGAAATCCACCCCAGCCCCCATTATCTCCCTCTCCCTCTCTCCCTCCCCTCTTCCTCCCCCTCCCCGTCTGGAATTTCCAACTCACGACTAACTCCTCTGATTTCTCCAGCCTCCCCTGCTGCTTTTTTCCTCCCCTTTTCTCAACAGTCCCATCCCAAAATCTAAGCTGCACTTTCTGGAAGACATTAGCCACATTTTAAGAATCTTTTTAAGAGGATGGGGAGCGAACAAGACTGAATTTAAATTCTAACAGCTGGAAAAATGTCTGTTCTTCAAATGCCTTTGGTTCATACATTTATTCTAACAACACTATCACCACCACTACCACACCACACACAAAAATCAACAGATCTAACCAATAAGTAACTCTTCAACACAAAATCTTTAAACAAATAGTACTTGCTGTTTTCCCCCTTTCCACTCAACTAAACCAGATCTGAATTTTAAAATATTTTAAAATTGTATACTCATACTAGCCTATCTCAATGGTATCTTTGTCAACAGGCTGTTACCCATTAAACTACAGAATAAATAAACTCTTAAAAAATAAGCCTTAAAAGTACCCACACACATAGATTGAAATGATACATATTAAGGTAATTTTAAAAGATTAGAAGCTCAAGACCTTTGAATCAAGAGTCTTCCAATTGCTAATGTCATGTATTTCATCTCTGAAACATAATTATAAGTATGTTTTGTTTTTCCACCAAAAGCTGTGCCATTAAAACTTTACATTTGGAACGGTTAACTATACTTTAAATAAATTAGTGATGGGAATTGCAATTCTTTCCCTTCTTTACTAAAAAGTTCTCCATCTGAGAAACCATTAGGGTAAAATTTTATTTCTCTAATTTGGGGCAAAAAATAAGGGGTTCTGGAAACCTACAACTCTTCCAAGGGACAGCCAAATATTACTATCCTCAGGGATGTCTCATCTTGAAATACTGACCACCCAAATGATAACTGGCATTTCTCTAGCAGTGAAGAAAATTTAATTTATAAATTTATAAAGTTTACTTTCTAGGTGGAAATTAAAATGAAAAGACTGTACCCCGATTTCCACCTTTTCTCCAAACAGGACAACTTAAAGATTCAACTACTTTTTTCACTTAATGTAAAGCAAAAAAAAAAAAAAAACTAATCTAATATTATTAAGAAAATCTTTTTCTTAACAGGGTCATAAATTGTTTCTACTTTAAACTTACTGTTGAATACTGTCACATGTATTTTTCACCTTGTATGACTTATAAACTTTCTTTTTGATTTGGATACTAATCCATAATTACAAAGTAAAGTAAAAGCACCTGAAAAATCCTCCCACTCTAGTATTTTTCCTTCCCTTGTTTTTTAACTCCCTTTCATTCATTTTCAGGCCCAAAGTATAAGGGGTTTTCCTCTTTTCCATTAAATGCAAACCCACTTCCGAAGCCAAAATTTTTAGCTTGTTTTAAAAACATTTAGTGATCCAATTATTTCTTCAGAACCTCCACAAACCATTTTTTAAAATAAAATTCAAAATATTTGTTGCCATTTACAAAACATCCCTTCACAAATTTTTTAAGGTGCTAAGTTCAGAAAATTAAGGAATAAAATAGGAATCAAGTTTGAACACTTTTGAGTGTTCTCACACTTCTATGAATGGTTATGAGACTAATTTTTGTTTAATAGGTGGAAATTTAAAGTGTTACCCACCTCATTTTAACTCAACTTAAAGGAAAGAATAACCATTAATCTGCCTAAAGAAATCACCAAACTTGAATGCATTTTGCCCAGAGAAATTAATGCAGTGTATCTCTTTCATTTTTTTAATTTAACAGTAACACATTTTATTTTTGATGACACCAATTATCAAATATGCTATCTTTAGGTTACATTCCTCTAGAAAAAGACACATCACAGTGGCAAGTGTAATAAAAATTAAATTCCCTTAAAAAGCAGTAATTTTCCTGAATAAACAAGTCACACTAAGATGGTATCCCTTTATCTCAAATACTCTTAAGTCTCTCAGAATAAAACACATATAAACCCTTTTCACAACTGTCTTAAAAATTCTGGTTTTTCTCTTTTGTCCCAATATCTGGCAGTGAATATATACAAATTCTCAACAAAAAGCCCAAAGTGTTAATCAAATTCCAACACTGACTAAGAGGGAGTTTGGAAGGTGATCTCAGAGAAATTTTGTCATTCGTTTTAAAAATTCAAACTAATTGCTATTTTCAGTTTAAATGTATAGTGTTCAATCTCTTGAGTTCTTAAAAAGGTACAAATCATATTTATCAAATAGATTCGGTGGAGGTGGGGGAGGAAAAAAACATTCAAAATGAGAACAAAATATATTAACACTTCAAAATCAGGGCTGCTCAGAGGTAACTGCTGAAACATATCTTTTGTTTGATTTCCCCCTTTAAAAAAACAAACAAAAAAAATTAAGTTGTTGGGTTTTTATTAATCTCTTAGAAATTTAAATCATAATTCATTTGGAGCTGAGTGCATCAAGAAGAATTCTCTTCTATTTTAAGCAGTGAAAACACCAAAGTACATATATATATATTATATATACACACACACAAAATACATACGTACAGTTGTTCATTTTGCTTAGAGTATGTTAGTCATAACTAACTAGTTCCTGTTTTATACATCCATGAGATTAAAAAAAGCCAGTAACAAACCTAACTGAAAAAAAATACTTTTCAGACAAACTAAAGACATATACCACAACATGCTTCCTCAAAGAACACAAAATGATAGAGCAAACTGACTTAATGCAAACAAACTCTTTTTTAAATCCTGAGACTTCAAAAACTGATTCATTCTAGAAAAATGAAGTGCCTTCTCATCACCACCCAAAATGAAAAGAACAGAAAACAAAATTGACTTAAAGTTTGGACCCAAAAATTATTTAAGCAAGGGGGAGAACACACAGAAGATCTAATTTAGTATGGGTGTGGAGAGGGAGTTTTTTTTTACCCAGTCATCTCACAAACCCTCTCCCCATTCCAACTCAAAAAAGAGCCCTCAGTAATGCATTTTGGAGGGAACAAGAATGAGCCTAGAAATGGCTTCAAAGCAAGCAGATGGCATGGGGAAAAAAGATCCATAAATATAGGAGACCATGAAAATTAAAATATAAATGTTTTGAGTTCTATTTCATCACATTTTGCTATTTTTCTTCCTTTTCACTTCATTCCCTTTAAAATTTAAGCCATCCTCAAAAGCAAAAGATAAAATGTCCACATATTTCAGAATGCCAGTTATTCTGGGTACTTTTTTTCAACACTCGGCTTTCAATTCACATATCTATAATCTTCTCAATAAATCTACTAGTGTCAGTGTATTAGTTTCTCTTATTCTCATCTCCAGGAAATGTTTCAAAATAATAAATAAGACTTTTTCCTTCAAATTTTATTGTCTGCTTACTCCTAATTATAACTGCCTTTCCAGTAACAAAGTATTTCAAGCATTTAAGGTTAAATCACAAACTCTACAAATGTACTAACAAGCCATATTGATCATCTATTGATAAAATAGTTCCAAGTTACTTACATATCTCAAACTAAACCACTGAACAGATTTTCTTCTCCAATTAAACTTCCCAAATCCTCTTAAAGTGCCCCCCCAAAAAAAAATCACCCACCCTCCACCTTCCCACCCAGAACAGGCCAGAGACTATTCCAGTTGAACGGGGGGTGAGGGTCAAAGATTTACTGGGGGCTGCTTTCCAACTAGCAACATGAGCACAAACTCTGCACTGTCAACATGTTTAAAGTCTAATTTGAGAAAGTAGAAAGACTCTGCCCTTATACTTCCCAGCTCGAGTTCAAGGAAAGATTTCAGAGTTCAATCAAGAAATCAATGATTTCAAATCCACTACCAATTTTCAGGAAGCATGACGGAAGTACCCTTTTTCCTGAAAGAGCATAGAGGGTTTTGGAATGAACACATACTCACACACACACACACACACACCATTCATCCACCGAGTTCTAGACCCTCCAAAGAGCCCCAGCTCACAGCCTGAACACAAAGATCTCACCCCAGATGGTCCCCTTGTAACAATGGGCTGAAGGAGTGGGGGTAGGGGGCTCAAAAAGGATAGTACGGCTAAAGGCATATTCTTTGGAAAATCCAGTTGGGGCGGGGGTCGGAGGTGGGGGAGGGTGGTTATGTGAGATGTGACGGACTGGGGATAGGGGTCTGTAGAAAAAGAAGTCTTCGCCTGCTGCAGAAATATGAGTAAAGCACAAGAAGCATAAGGGTATTTTGGGGGGGGCATGAAACTCATTCCACTTCCTCTAGAGAGTAGAAGGGGACTCTCCTCAAATCCATTTAAGAATTACGGTGTAGAAAGGGTGGGAAAAACAGAAAATGAGGCCTGCTAGGAAGTTGCTGAAATCGCCATGAGTTTGAACTCTTTGAAGATTTTAAGCTTCCCCACAAAAAAACGGCCCCACACCTTGAACAAAATGAACAAGGTTTCTCCCCTATTGATTCCCCCTCCCCTTTAGTTCTACAAATAACGTCTTTTAGCCCAGACCCAACTTTTTTTTCCCCCCTTTTTACAAGCTGTAAACCACCCATTACAAGATCTTGGCCTATCTTCCCTCCCTGCCCCCAACATCCGGAGTTGGGGGTGGGAAGGCCAGTAATGGGTTTCTTCCACTGGAGACGCTAAGGACCCCTGAACGCAGCCTCTCAGCCCCCGAGAGAAGAGCTCTTTCCTACCTTTGTTTTTTAGGGACCGAATGTTCAATCTCTAGGCGTTTTCCTTGTAATTCTACTTTCCCTAAAGATTAAAAAAAAAAAAATTGACGTGAGAGCGTGAACAGGGGTCGGGGGTGGGAAGAGGAAGGGGACACTAGGATAATTCAAGAGTTACTGAGATGCGAGATCTTTCTGGGGATCCAGGCAGTGGCTTCCGCAGCCGGACGGGAAAAGGTTGCTCTAGGAATAGAGGAGTCTATAAATTCGTTGTTTTCCTAATTTTTGTTTTGTTTCATCACTTAGGCTTGTTGAGCGGATCGCCCTAGAAGCCCAATTTGGGAAAAGTGCGAGATCATTTGTGTGGGCGCGCTGCCTGTCCGGCTCCCAGATGTGGAGATTAGCAGGCAGGAGAAACGGCTCCCCGTTTCTCAGAAAGTGGGGGGTGGTGGGCGGTGTGCCGAATGAAACTTTATTTTTCTCTTGGACCAAGAAGAAGGGCTTCAGGCCGCGAGGCGGTCACCTGTCGGGGCCGGCCGGGAAGGAGAGGACCGGGGGAGCGGAGCGGGGCCGGCGGGGAGGGTCCCTCGCGGCCCAGCCTGGGCGTCTCGGGAAGCAGCATGGCGACCCGGCGCCGCCGCCGCCGCGCCACCCCGCTCACGCCCCACTTTCAAATCAAAATGGCTCAAGCCCCAGGCCCTGGGCGGGAGGCGGGACCCCCTTCCTCCCCAGTCCTGGGGAGGGCTGCTGTCCCCACGGACAAGCGGGGAGATAAGACGCAGTGCGGGGACCCCTTCCACGCCTGGAAAGGCCTAAGACTGAGGAGGGAACCTGGGGGTGTTGAAGCTGGGGGGCCGTCCAGCAGCGGATAAGGAGGGGCTGGATGTGGAAATAACGCCCGGCCGGGGGTCGTCTCTGCCACCCCCCCCACTGCTGCCAATGGGGGCTCCCGCCCCGTCCGTGGGGAGGGAGTAGAGGGAACCCGGAGCTTCTCCTCCCGGGCTGGGAGGAGGGGTGAGGAAATCCCGAGTGTTGCTGCGCGCGGGGCTGGGGGGTTCGCTGTGCGAGGGAGGGGGCGTCGAAGACGGGAGGTCGAGGCTCGGTGCAGGCCCGAGGGACCGAGGAGTTGGCGGGCAAGGAAAGAGGAGGCGCAAGTCTCCGTTGTTCAGGGATTTCGTTGTGTTTTTTTCGGGGAGGTGGCTGTGCTCTTACCGGAGAAAGTTTCGATGGCCTTCATCGCCCAGTGCTCGTCGGGGCAGTCCACGAAGGCGTAGCCGGATTTGACCAAGAACTGGCCGCTGTAGGATATCTTGTGCTCCGCAAATACTTTCTCCAAGTCCGCGGGGGTCACGCTCTCGTTGAGGTTGCCGATATAAAGCTTGTTCATGGTGGCGGTCTCGGGGCAGGACGCGGTCCCGGGCAAGGCCAAACCAGTGTGCGCAGGCGGCGAGCCTCCTAGGCCTAGAGGCGGGGAGGCCGGCGGCAGGAGCCGCAAACTTTCTTTGCACCCCACCCCTGAAGTTGTCCGGAGCCCAGGGCGGGGAAGGCGGCCTGAGGGCGCGCAGAGGTCGCGGGAGAGTTCGGGGAGAGCCGGGGAGAAGTGCCCGCGGAGCGCTAGGAGGCGGACGACGCGACGCTGCTGCTTCCCTTCGGTCCGAAACCCCTCGGAGCGGGCTGGTGTGTCACGTTTCTCCGCGGCCGCCCTGGAGCCGCCTCTAAATAAAATCGACTTGAAAAAAAATGGAGCGGAAAAAAAAAAAAAAAAAAGGCAAAGCCACGTGGTGACAGCCCCCACCCACCCTGCATGGGAAGACCCCCCGACGCCACAGGGCCCCTCGGCCCTCAGGCCAAATCCAACAATCTCATGCGTGGGGGTGGGGGACTCAATTCACCCCAGGAGTAAACTGGACCGGTGGGGGCAGCGACCCTGAAGCTCTAGTCGCCCCCTCCCCTTTGCAAGAACCTGGCCCCTAGGGAAGCGCCCCACCCCCACCCATCCTCCTACCCGGGCCAGAACTGGGGGAGGGTGGCGGAGCCCAGAATCTCCCTTGTCTTTAAGAGTAAAATGTGCCGTATTTTTTATTCGTTTGGGGGGGCGGGGTTGCCCACCCCACCTCGGAACAGCTAGCGACTGACAGGCGGGGGACGGCCAAGATAGACAAAGAGAAGCCGAGGACTCTGGGGTCTTCAGGAGGGGGTCGCACGAGCGGGTGATTTAAAAAGAAAGGCGCCTTTTCCCTAGATTTTTTAATGGGGGGGGTCTCCGCCTTCCCTACCGCAACCCCACGAGACTCCCCCGCCTCAGGGGATCCAGGACCGGGGAACACTACGACCGCGCGACCTGGAAGCTGGGAACACGGGGGGGACCGCGGTTGGGAACGAGGGAGCCGCAGGAAATCGTGTTTCAGGATCCCCAAGGGAGAAAGGGTGGCTCGCACCCGGGGTCCGGCTGTTAAATCATAACGTTTCGGGGTCCTGGGGGAACGCGCAGTTCTGGCCCGAGATGACCCCAAGAGAGAGGGAGGGTGGGAGGGAAGGAAGAAGGGTGGTAGCTCGGACTAATCCGAGCTAACCGAAGGGGGAGGTCTCAGGGAGGGAGTGACCGGGTGGAGATCCTAATGGTCCCCCTTTTCCCTTCCAGACTCGGGGGCAGACAGGTGGAGTCCTCTGCGCCTGCTCCACCCGGGACACCGACTGCGGCTCTGCTAGGGCTGGGTTCGGGTCTACGAACTTTGTTTAGGGTGGGGGATTCGGATCCCGGCGGGAAGGCGGGAGAGGGGCGGAGGGCGGGGGGGGGGCCGAGCGCGAAGCCCCGCCCACGTCCCCAGGTCAGACCCGCGGGGGGAGGGGGTAATTTCCGCTCCGCGGACGGGGAAACGAGGGGCGGGAGCTTAGGGGAGGGGGCTGCGGCCCCTCCCCCGCCCGTTCCTGGGGAGGGGGGAGCGGATCCGCCCTGGTCCCTTCCCTCGGCTTTGACCAACTCGTTCCGGATCCTCCGGCTCGCGGAGCCCTAGGGAAGGACCCGACTGGGCAAGGGGCGACACGTGGGCGGTCGCACCCCGTCTGGGCGATGGGGGAGGGGGCGGCTTGTCGCGCGTTTCGGAGTCCCGGATACGCGGCGGAGAGCGGGACGCGCGCTCCACGCGCAAGCCTTGGATCCCCGGCGGCAGGGCGAGCGAGGCCAACGAGTTTCTAGCGGCGGGGGCTGGGATGGCGCCAGGGGGTGGCGGAGAGTGCGGCCCGAGGGACCCTGAAACCCCCTCGCACAGGGAACTGGGGAAGATGGGAGTCGACCCCCAGAAATTCCGGAGTCCGCCTTAACGGGGCGGAAATCGGGGTTTTACTCGGGGTTCTGCGGGAGGGAGAGAAATTCTGTCCGGGGCACGCGGGCTGCGAGGGCAGGTGAGGAAGGGGGTCACTCTCCCCTTCTCCAGACCCCGACCCCATTGTCTCAGTCGCCGGCTGCCTGGGCCGACTCTGCAACACGTGTTGACTACACCAATGTGAATGCTTTGAATTTTTTTATTGTTGTTATTTTTCGTTTGCAGAGTCAGTGAGCTGACTGCGACTTCAGCCCACCGCTCTTCTGTGCGATGATTTTATGCCGTTCAAAAAGTCGGGAGTTTAAAGACAACATGCAGCACCTTTGTCCCCCTCCCCATTTTCCCGGCGCGCTGAAAAGAAATGGGGCTAGGACGTGGGGGCGGGGGAAGGCTTCCAACTCGGTTTCTCTATCTCCTCCACCACCTTAGAACCCACCTCCCCAAATCAGCGTTTTGTTCTAGCCTGCCACGTGTTTGTCGGATTTTTGTTTTTGTGATATTTTTCCTCCTGTGGAACAACAGGAATTAAAATATTATAAGCTATTAGTCGCTGAGTAGAAGAAGAATGTTTTCTGTCCAAGAAGGTGGGAGACATCTGTGTCTCACCCCACATCTCTGACCCTACCCCCATCTGACTCTTAATATTTGGTCAGCTCTTGATCACAAACATAATTTTAAAACAAACCAAACCAATGAGCTGGAAACGGTGCTTGCCACATAGTAGGCACTCAATGGACATTTTAAAAATGAAAAAGAAGCTTAATACAATCTGCGGAGAAAAGAGAATTCAGGAAAATTAGAGTCCAGAAAAAAAACCAAATTATCTTGGCCAGAATGTGTGGGTCTGTTGCCCGGGAACTTTTCTTGGTGATGTGTGTGGACTTTTGAAAGGGCCAAAAGATGGTCTCAAAAAGCCTGTTGTATTTCTTGGCCTTTTCCTAAATAGGAGTCCCAAGCCTCTTAAATCTTTTCTGTTATATTGGGGGACAAGGATGAGGGTAACTAGGCAGAGCATCCCAGTTCCCAGAAACTTTAAGTGCTGTTTCCTTCACTTGATTTGAATCTTTAGGTACTAATAAAAGCACTTCTCAGATTTTCTCCCTAGGGGACATATCCACTGCTCTCTCTTTATTCCTGAAACAAAAGCAAGTTACACCCCACAAAAATCTCCATCCAGACCTCTAAATTCCTATAAGATGTAGCCCACCTTTTACTACCCTAGATTCAAAAGGAAACAAAATTTTTTAAAATAATTGAATTCAGTTCACTTTTAAGTTGATTTTTTCCATGTAAAAATATAATAGAAGTCTGAAAGTTAGCTGAAATCAGCCAGTTTTTAAAGTGTATTTTAACATGACAGAAGACAAAATATAAACTTACTTGAACAGTCTGCTATCTAAAAATTCTTTTAAATTATTTAACTAAAAATTGATCAATTATTGCTCAATTGAAACTGATTAGTTCTTTTGTTTTTATTAGTTCTTTTTTTAAAATCAGCTGTTTCACTGAATTCTAATCCTCTCCACCCCCAAAAAAGGGCTTATGTGTGTATAGTCAGAAGCTGCAAAGGCTGCAAGAATAGGAGAGAGAGGAGGCAACTGGAGTGAGATACAGATCTTTTTAGCCCCCAAATCAGTTTTGCCTCAATGACCAGGCTATTTTAGGCTGGGGTTGGGGGGGACTAAATGATGTTGATTGATGCTTCAATTCTCCCCTCTGAGCTCAGCACTCAATTTACCCTGAAAGAAGGGTTATTTCTTGTCAAGACTCACATTCCTAGGTTAAGGATAGAAAATGGGAGGGGGGCTGCCATAATTTTTCATCTTCCTCTTCTTTCTTTTTAATATTAAAGAAAACTAATAAACATTGTATTTACAACTTTTTCTACACTGCTTCTTTGGGAAAGATGAACCTTCAATGCAGAGTTACATTTAGTTTATGTAAGAGTTAAAAATACAGCTGCAGGATAAATTGTTATTTTCCAAATAATAATTATTATCCTGTATAATAGATATCCTATATAATATACATACTGTATATCCTTTATAATATAATAATTATTATTATACTTCTTTCTCTTCTTTTCTTCTCTGCTTCCTCCTCCTTCTTAATTTTTCCTGGAGAACTGTTTGGTCTAGTTATAGAATTCACTTCCCCTCTGAATTCAGAAACACTGAAACTTGACTCTGTTTTAAAGGTAGGATTCTGATCCATTTTCCTTTAGTGTGAACATACAAATAGATACAGAGAAAAAAATTTTAAGAGGATAAAACAACTTCTTAAAATATGGGAAGTAGAAGATTTAAAAAGATCAACAATTCCACCATTGGCATACAAAATTAATTTTACTTTTAAATGTTCTTTCCAACATTTGTCCATTTAAAATAGTTTTAAATTTTGTCATCTTATTTTTATATCTTAATTTTTTACTTACTTTTGTACCATAAGCATTTTCCCATGCTGCCTCAATGTTTTCACAAATATTTTAATTCAGCCCAGTTAATGTATATAAATAATTAATCATTATTTTTAGACATATTACATCAAATTTTTTACTTTTTTGGATTAGCTCCTTTGGATAAATCCCCAAAACATATATTGCATTTTAAATCTAACATTTATCAGTGACTTTTCTGTTTTAAAAGTTTAGCATGTTTTACAAAAGAAAAAATGGATAGCAGAAGAGAAATACATTAAAATAGAATTTTTTATCTTTTATTTTCTAATGAACCATAATCAGTTTCGGAATAAAATTGTGGTTGCTACAAAATATAGAAAAAGAAAATTTCACATTTCCTGATATATGGCTGCTTTGACTTCAAGGTTTTGAAGCTTTTGGAGGCGTTTGTTTTTTGATTGTTTGGTTTTTATTTATTTTGTTATTGCTTGCTTGCTTGTTTTTTTATTGTTACTGCTTTGGGATGTTTTGTTTCTTCCTACATCTCGAAGACTTAGTGTGGTTCTTTTAAATACCTATAAACTTTGAGAATGTGTAAATTAGTTACAATTTAAAAGCACATGCAGATTTTTCTCCTGTCAAATAAATAAGGATAATTATGTGTTTAGGATATCTCATAATATGTAAGAAAACTGTAAGCAGAAAAGAATATTTTCCTCCTTCAAATTATCATTCATTCAAGAAGTGTTTAATGTTTAAAATCTTAAAAAGAAATGTATTCAGAGAGAGGACTCAAGAGGAAAAAAGAACAATAATTTGTTTTTCTGTGGGTCTCACAGTGTTTGACAAAACCTCTCAATTTTTTGTTTTGGCTCAGGTTTGGTATGTAGAAAGTCTAAGATAAGAAAGAGAATCATTTATTAACTTTAAAAGTGGAGATTTCCAAATTAATTTTGCTGGTAAATTAAACTACTCCACCCAGCCCCTATTGACATACATAGAAGAAATGGTCATTAACATTCTTCACACTAC